AAAAATAAAATAATTTAATTAATTCAATATAAAAAAATAAAAATTTTATTTAGTTTCGATTCTTCGATTCTTGGTCTATACCCGAGACCCGACCCAAACTCATCGGTTCTCGATTCGGGTACCCGTTCGTGTATTTAATTTACGAAGAACAGCTCGATTCGGTTCGATCCGATTCGTTTCTATTCGGTTCGGTTCGAGACTTTTGGACACCTCTATATTCAAGTCAACAAGATAACATATGAATAACTCATTCCCAAAGCAAGAAAAATCACAAGTTAGACCAAGGAGAGAGTCAATTGGGATGCTAAAGAATAAAACATTGAGCTCGCACGTTAAAATTTTAATTTTAATTCTCATTTTTTTACTCATTTTCAATCAGACATTATTTAATAAAATAATATTTTCAATTATATCAATAATTTTTCCTTCTTTTTTTAACCACACATTCTCCATCAATCAACTATTTAAAAATACATTCTTCCAAAATAATATGGCTCAGAAGATAAGGACTTCTGACCCATTATCTCGAAAAATTATTCTTCTCTATCTTATTTTCAACCACATAATTTTTTATAAAATAATATTACACATAAATAAATAAATAAAAATTTCTTTTTCAACCATATTTTTCAAAAAAATATTATTCCAAAAATTATAATTTGTAGTAATGGTGGCCAAACATGGGCTGAACTTTGGTTCAAGTTTCCAACTAGATCGGAAGACATGCGCTTCTATTAAGCCTATGTACACATAATTATTTACTAGGAGTGTGTTTGAACCACATTATTTTGAAAGAATGTATTTTGGAATTGTAGATTGATGGAGCATGTGTGATTGAAAAAAAAGGAAAAGTTATCGATATAATAAAAAATATTATTTTATTGAAAAATGTGTGATTAAAAATAAGTAGAAAAATAATAATAAAAATTTTAATGTAGCTCAAACATATGCTAGAAATGAAACATTGACTTATACATGTTTGAGCCACATTATTTTCCCAAGAATGCATTTTAATTAATATTTTGATGGAAAATATGTAATTAAAAAGTGAGAAAAAGTTTAGAATTTGCGTATAATATTATTTCATTGAAAAATATATGATTGAAAATAAGAGAGAAAAAAATGTATTTTAAAAGAATGAATATCAAACGTGGTGTTAATATTACTTCAAACCTTGTATGCATAATGACCCTAGCATTTTTCAAGTCGTTAGTTCAGATAACTGTCCATTTAAGGAAAGTCCTTTCTCATCTTACTATCTTCCGAATTTCTATCATATTTCATAGATTCGAAACTCAAGATTTATACTTTATGAGAAACTTAATTTAAATCACACATTACATATTAGTTAATGACTCCAGCATATATGTTCAAATCATGATACAAACACTATTCACTTTAAGTAAGGGTGCGTTTGATTGCAAGGGTGGAAAGAAAATGATTTCCAGGAAAACTAATTGCCTATAAAATATTTTGTAGGGAATTGATAATTAAGTGTGTTTTATTGGTATAATTTTCCACCCGAAAAATTTTTAAATTTTCTATTCGTTTGGCTTTGTTTTACAGGAAAGTGTCTATTAAAGTGATAATTTTTTCCACAATTGGTTATAAAATTTGTTTCCATTGCCAAAAAATTTGGTTAAGAGGAAAAAAAATTGTTTCCTAAAAGATCTTTTTTATCAAAGTTTAGTATTCGTTTGACTTTATTTTACATGAAAATTCTCAATTAAAGTGAATTTTTTTTTTACACTTGGTTATGACATTTGTTCCCATTGCAAATAAAAATAAAAATACAAATTATAGCAGCCTTCCCACCAAAAACAAGGAAATAAGGCTCATGGGGGGTTGGGGGGCAAAAAATTTTCCATGGAAAATTGTTGTCATCAAACAGCCAAAAAGTGGAAAATATTTTCCATTTTCTATGGAAAATCAAGGCCATCAAACAGCCTAATAGATTCTTCTCAATTTAAAAATCTAAAACTTTTCTAGTTTTCAATTATTTGGTGGTCATTATAAAAAAATTAGGAGAGAATGATGATAGTGATTTTTTGAAAAATGTGTGGTTAAAAATTAATAAATAAAGTTTTGAATTTACGTATAGAATATTATTTTATTGTGTGAAAATTTAATTAAAAATAAATATAAAAAATAAAGAATTTTAATTTAAGTTTGTGTTTTTCTCCCATTATTGTAGAACAAATGGAGTAATGAATAATATTTTTTGGAGAATGTGTGGCTGAAATTTACGATTAAGCCATGTTTGTTTCGGATTAAAATCAGATTTTAATCTAAGTCAAAGTCAAACAATCAATATTAACCACATTTTTCATGAGTCTCATAACTTTTTAACAATACATTTCAAAAACTGTTATTACAATCTATTAAAAATCTAATTTTAATCCCATCAAACACCCACTTAAAGTAATTTTATTGAGTTATGTGTAAAATATTTTATTGGATGAATGTGTATTGAAAAATTTTATAGCAAATAATGTTTTAAAATAACGTGAGACAATAGGCGACTCAAGAAAGTCTACCGCATTAAACAACTATGACACAATTCCTCACTTCAACCTAAGCCCAAGAAAGACAAATGCAAATTATCCAAAGATAGCACGTTAGGCATCAAGATTTTTTTTGCCATTCACGCACAAAGTTTGCAAAAGAGAAGATGTGCCACGCACCATCACATGTCCTCTTCTCCATTTGGAAATTATTGCACTCTCTGCACAATCTGCCACCCTTGTCCTTCTCTTTATTATTTGGTCCACTCTGTTGCAAAAATTTCGTCCACTCCTTTTCACCGCACCCTGAAAAACCAAACCCTAAACTCCATAACTCACGGTGAAGCCCAAGTGATTATGAAGATTTTTTTTTTTGGAGTGGGATTCTTGGTAACTTTTAATTGTTGTTATTGGAATTAGGGGGTGAAGATTTTTGGGTTAATTGGGTGTCATATGATCAAGTAAAGTATGATGGAGTGGGATAGTAACTCGGAGTCTGATCTGATGGAAGGGGAAGAAGATGAAGAAGTAGAAGGGTTGGGGTTTTTGTTGAGGAGAAGTGGAGGAGAAGGTGGGACACCGCTTTTTTCGGTGGACAAGCTTCTACAACCGGCGCCTTGCGGGTTTGTTGTCACAGATGCTTTGGAACCGGACCATCCCATTATTTACGTTAATTCTGTGTTTGAGATGGTTACTGGTTACCGTGCAGAAGAAGTTCTCGGCCGCAACTGGTTAGTCCACCCCCCCTTCCCCCCGCCAAAAAAAAATTGCCGGGATTTTTCGCTTTCTCTGTTTATTATCGCTAATTATCACATTTCTGGATAGAGAATTGAAGGTTAGATGTTCAACAAAGGTAGATTTAATTAGGATTTGTAAGTGTGAAATGCAGCTGGTTTTATCTTTTTTGTTCTCAGGAACCGTGTCTTTGAAAAATTATTGCGCTTGGGAATTTTACAAATAAATTATGGTTAATATTTGAATTTAATGAAATTGAACGGAAAATTCAATATTTGGTGAATTATAAGAAGTCCGTCTTTTCTGCTTAGAAAATTGGGAAGACATGAGTGCTAGGAGATTTCACTCGAACTTTATTATTAGGATGGTGTGAAAACCATGGATGGGAAAATATTTTAGGCGGCAGTTGGTTTAAATTCTTTAGTTATTAGTTATCAACTACAGTTCAGGATTATTTGGACTGTTTGATATCTATATCCTTTCTTTTATATTTTTATCTTCATAAAGGCTCCTATCAAAAAAATCTTCATAAAGGCAGAGAATGTTTGTCTTCTTGTTACTATAAGAATTCCACTACTGATATCATTATGTCTTAATAATTTGGATGCAAGTTCAACACCATCAGTTCATTTTGTTTTATTGAACGAGAACAAACGCCAGGCGGTGTGCATATGATCCTTAAAGCATCTATAACAGTGCAGCATTCTAGTCCATAAATCTTTAGCGATTGTGCAATAGCTTAAATTTGGAGACATGAGATGCATTCATTTGCTTACTTTGTAGATTCAGTGAGAGTGCAAACAATTTAGAAGTAAGAAAGCATAGTGGGTGCATTATGAATGTGAATGGGGGTTATGATTCCAATTTCACCTACAATTGAACAAATCTAACAAGTAAGTTAAGGAATTAACTAATAAAGGAAATCAAATTAGAAAACTAAAAATGAAGAACAATAAGAACGACGAATTCCCCTTTTATTAGGCTCAGAAAATCTGATCCACCACCACAAAGGCAATACCAAATCTGAGAAAATTTGAAGGGCACACCCAAGGCACGAAGAACAGAAGCAGATTTCAGGAATAGCACAAAGCAGGACAGTTTTAAGCACAAAGCAGAGATCCGTTCTTTGCTTCTTCTTAAGCACAAAGCAAGAATGATTTTTGGTGTGTTTAAAATGAGGACCAATGACTCCTTTTTATGGGCCAAAAATCACAAATGTATTCCAGGAAAATCTCTTCAAGATTGAGTTCAAAGATAATGATAAGAGTTTCAAAGCTTGAAGAGGATAAGAGATAGGAGGAGTTTCAAATGGGCATCACAAAAAATACCCAACAGGGGTATTAATCTTGATTGATAATTTGGATTATTTGATATTGAATGGTGAAGTGCAGACCGTCTTCAAGCTTTAAGCTTTCTTATACAGTTACTGCAACCTTTTCCTGTGGCAACTCATAGACCCTTCCCTGTGCCAGGGGGCTTGACCGAGAAAGGAGAATTCTTCTCCAACCTCTCCCTATCAAGTAGAGGAGTGACTTACTATTTCTAAGTGCATGAGGCCTTGTGCATTTTTATCTGGATGCTGTTCTTTGAATTCTTTATTTAGTAATATATAACTGTTGTCTAATCCCTACATGGTCTATTAATGTTCTTTCTTTCTTTTTTATTGATTGATAAATACTAGAGTGGATTAGACTTTGTTTAAATTGATATTGTCAAAGTATGTATTAAAGTAGACATTGCCTGTTCGTGGTAATTATTTAAGACTGTAAAAACAGTAAACTTGCCTGTTCTTGGTAATTATTTAAGACTGTAAAATTTTGTAAACCTTCTGAACCGGCAACCTGATAACTCCTGGTCTCACCCTTTACTCCTGTTTGAACGATATCATCTCCTTGGTTCTGATAATTGTTTCATATTGTAATGACATCTCTCTGTGCCGTGCCCCGCCCCGCCCCCAACTAACTCTCTAAGCACCCCTAGCATATGTTGTGGCAAAATTTATACTAATAATGGTTTAGCAGATTTTGGTCGCCCGTGTTCAAAGTCGATCATTTACACTCTTGAAAGCATTTATGGACATGCTGGCATCCATTTTTTTTAGGTGGAAGATGTAATGCTGTACTATACATCTAAGTTTGATGTCAATTAGTTATATTTGTAGCTTAAAGGGAATGTTACTTCTCCCTGGTCATTTAGTTAATTAGATTTGAACCGCTGACTTACCAGTCTCGACGTTGTGAATGTTTTGTGCTATGGTGGGATGTTGAGGAACTGTGGAGATGATTTTTGTTTATCAAGTAAATCATTTGCACAAGGTTGTAGTTTCTCTAATTTCCTGGGTACGACAAGATGAAACTGGATTAATGTATAGGATGAGTGTTCAGTTATCCTCACAATACAAACTGGGAAATCAATGGCTGCTGTTGACATGTTTTGAAGGGAACATACTTGAATATAATGTAAATTTTTCTGGTGGTACTAACACAAATTAATTAGTTATGTAGGTTTCATTTTCTACGGTATCAAAATCTTTGACAATTTAAGATATTTTAATTGACGAAAGATAAAAGGGTGGGTTCATTTGTCATGACTTCGCCAGACAAAAATATACTTTCTCAGATTTTGTACTGCAAAAATTGGATTGATTATAGAAAACTCATCCGCCTCCCTTTCTTCGGGATAGTACAGAATTTGTTGTTGCCTTCTTAAAGATACTGGGCCAATTATTCATGACTGTAACTGATTAAAATGTGGTGATGATTCCCAAGTTTGCTATGTTCAGAAGTGTGGGTTTCCAATTAATTACTCTCGAGTGTATATGGTATAAAAGCAGTAGGTACGTGGTTTCTCTTACAAGTATTATAGTATATAACAAAATTGTTTCATGTCCACTTGAATACTCTTATAGGGAGTTGGTTGTCTGTTATTTCATAATTTTTCTATTCAGGATCTGAGAATTAAAATGTAGACTAACCTGATACAGGACTGTTTGTATTTTGGTTTTTTTTTTCTTTCATATAAAAGCTTTTTACTGATCAGATGAGATATATTTAAGGTTAAATTTTACTGGTGATAGTTCAGTGATAAGGCTCCCCAACTAGGATTGCTAGACCTTGTGTGAAATGTTACTTGAGTAGTAAGAACAGTGGTTTACAAATTGATTTGAGATTTTGAGTAATGCCCTATCTGAATTTAAATTATTTATCATCTCAATTAGAACTCATGGATTTTATACTCTCTAAGCATGGTATAATATTGGTGCAGTTTGTTCCAGCTTCTGTCAAACTATAATAATTCTTAAAGTTGTTCATGAATGTTGTTGTCCTGGTTGTAGTGCATTGAATTTTATCTTAGCTTTACTTTCAATTCTTATGATTATATTGACTTTGATGTATACCTGAATGTGTCAGTATAACTCAACTGTCTCGTGCATCTTTTAAATAATAACTCACTGTAGGATCCTATTTCGACCCTATACTGGTAGGATTGAAGGCATGGAGAGGGCCAAAAGTTAATAAAGATGATATACAATATATGGTAGTCAAAAACGATAATCTTTTTTCATGCAAAAAGATCACATTGGAAACAATTCACCACTAATTTGTTTGATTATGAGTATAGTCAGTGTACTTGGGTGGATATCTTAAGAACCGCTCATAGTCAGTCAAAATTTGTTCAATTGAGAGGGTCAATAATGTTGAATGTTGTTCCGTACTCAACTTTGAGTCACGGGTGACTGAATATTGGCTCAGGTTTCAGATTTGATTTCTTAATCATGGTAATTTTTATGTTTGTAGTTTATGTCCATTGATAGTCCAACAGACTTTTTCTTGGCTAATAATAACTGATATCATTTTCTTATAAAATTGTGTTCATATCATTGTTCAAAGCATCTGTCGTGACGACGACTATGCTTAAATTTTCTGCAGTCGCTTCTTGCAATGCAGAGGCCCATTTGCTAAGAGAAGGCATCCACTGGTGGACCCAATAGTAGTCTCTGAAATGAGAAGATGCCTAATGGAAGGTGTTGAATTTCAAGCTGAATTGTTAAATTTTAGAAAAGATGGATCCCCATTAATGAATAGGCTGCGCATGACTCCAATATATGGTGACGACGAGACAATTACCCATATCATTGGTGTACAGTTCTTTACGGAAGCAAATCTTGATCTGGGACAACTTTCTGGATCTTCAGCAAAGGAGACTTCTAAAATATCTGAAAGGTTTAAATTCAGTCCTTCTCCTTGTGTACTAGTTACAGATGGGAAGCGGAATATCAGTCGCGGGGTTTGTGGAATAACGCAGTTAAGTGATGAAGTCCTCTCTATGAAGATTCTTTCTCGACTGACTCCTAGAGATATTGCATCCGTTGGCTCTGTTTCTCGGCGACTGTATGAGCTGACTAAGAATGAGGATCTCTGGCGAATGGTCTGCCAAAATGCATGGGGCAGTGAAACAACTCGAGTATTAGAAACAGTGCCAGGTGCTAAACTCTTAGGGTGGGGTAGATTGGCAAGGGAACTTACCACTCTTGAAGCTGCAGCATGGAAAAAACTAACAGTTGGAGGTGTTGTTGAACCCTCTCGTTGCAACTTCAGCGCATGTGCTGTTGGTAATCGTGTGGTTCTTTTTGGTGGGGAGGGTGTCAACATGCAACCCATGAATGATACCTTTGTGCTGGACCTGAACTCGAGCAATCCCGAGTGGCAACATGTCAAAGTGAGCTCTCCTCCTCCTGGTCGTTGGGGCCACACACTTTCTTGTGTGAACGGGTCCCATCTTGTTCTGTTCGGTGGCTGTGGGAGGCAAGGTTTACTTAATGACGTCTTTGTGTTGGATTTGGACGCTAAGCATCCTACTTGGCGCGAAATCTCCAGTTTGGCTCCTCCACTCCCTAGATCTTGGCATAGCTCCTGCACACTGGATGGAACCAAGCTGATAGTCTCTGGTGGTTGCGCTGATTCTGGAGTACTTCTGAGCGACACTTTTCTGCTTGATCTTTCCATGGAGAAACCAGTGTGGCGAGAGATACCTGTAGCATGGACTCCACCTTCACGTTTAGGGCATACATTGTCGGTTTATGGTGGGAGGAAAATCTTGATGTTCGGGGGTCTTGCGAAGAGTGGTCCTCTTCGGTTTCGATCAAGTGATGTATTCACCATGGATCTGAGCGAGGAGGAACCATGTTGGAGATGCGTAACGGGGAGTGGGATGCCTGGTGCTGGAAATCCAGGAGGTATAGCTCCTCCTCCCCGGCTTGATCATGTGGCGGTGAGCCTCCCAGGTGACAGAATCCTTGTCTTTGGTGGTTCTGTCGCTGGTCTTCACTCAGCATCCCAGCTCTATATACTCGATCCAACCGAAGAGAAACCAACATGGAGGATTCTGAATGTACCCGGGCAGCCTCCAAGATTTGCTTGGGGACACAGTACATGTGTCGTTGGAGGTACTCGAGCCATAGTCCTTGGAGGTCAAACCGGGGAAGAATGGATGCTAAGTGAGATTCATGAATTATCTTTAACAAGCTCCACGATCTGAGGAAAATGAAAAATCAGGTGCTTTTTCCACTGCAACCCATCTTTTAGGCTCATCAGGTGTCATTTTCTCTGCACAATGTCTCTTCTTCAGTTGCTAGAAATGCTCGTGGAGTACTGGTGTTGTCGATTGGGGTGCTCCAGCCAATTGCTGAACTTGATTCATTTTCTCGTTGCAAGTCTAGTGGGAACAATGACATATCCTGGCTTGATTTTATGATTTTGTGTCAAATTGTTCAATGTATAATACCACCACCTTGCATTATCTGCTGTCTCTAGGATGCTAATACTTTGTAGGGTTGTAGGACTATCATACTTGTAGGTTAGTTTCCATAATATATTGTCACTGTGTTGTGCTCTGTAAGTTGGAACACAAAAAATAGAGAAAAAAAAAAAAATTATGTATCGGTATGTGTGTACAAGTTTTTTATTTTTATTTTTATTTGTATAATTTGGGGTGATGTATCTTGTTGAGATGTTCTCTTACGGCCTCTGAACTTGCTTTTGGTTCAATTGTACGTCTCATATGTGGTCTATATACTTGTACTATATGCCATGTGCATCCTTCTAGGTATCCAATACTAATTTCTCTACCGAGTTGAGAAATAAATTTCGTTGCATTGCAACACGAGTTACAAGAAGGCGACTATCCTCTAAGAAAGTATTTGGGTCTGGATTTCCATCTGAAGTAAAGGTCTATTTTGCTTTATTTATGTAGGAGCTCGGGTTTGTCGAAGGAATCTGTGTCCTCCTTCCCTGCTGTCTTGCTTACTATGAGTTTGCTTCTTCCACAGGAGAAGTAATTCCTTTTAATTGACAGACGTAGAAAGAAAAACAACTTATTGAACATGCTAGAATTATGACACAGTATACGCAAGACCTTGCTGATCAAAGCGAGGTCCTCTCTTCTATGCTTTTTAGCTATGGAAATCAAGTTGATTTTGAATGTCAGTCGAAAAGGTACAATGATACTGCCTGTCTCGTACTGATTCTTAAGATCACGACTCCATATTTCCTCTGATATCAGAAGTCTTTGTGAAGATTGCTTATCACAAGAAGAGTCCTCCCTAATTTTGGATACGAAATCAATGGTGTCCTTGTACATTTTTGCCTTGCAGTAACCATCTACAACGATCTTGTACGTTAGCTCATTTGGTCTGCAATTTTGCTGATCGTATAACCAATCACCTCATGTACTTCAGGGGACAAAACCCGTGTAGAGAGGCCAGCTATGAATGTAATGTAAGTGACAATGCAAGGCTGAATCCCTCTCATAGTCATCTCTGAGAAAGTCCTCATAGCTTCTTGCATGAGACCGTGCCTGCAGAAATATACAAGATCTGGTTTCCCACCAGCCACTTGAAGTCCGTTGAGGATTTCTTGAGCCTTCCAACACTCACCAGGATCGCAAAAACATCCGTCAAGCTTTTATACGTGACTATATCAGGCTGCAACCCGTTCTTCTGAATCATTTGCCTTCATACATCTTATTCCTTGGAAAAATGGAAAGCATGAAATCGAATAAAACCAAATTGGGTTTATAACCATTCTTCAGAAATTCCTGAAATGCTCTCTCCATACTGGCAAGTGATCTACACTTGCAATTCTCGAGAATAAGAGTTTTCTGAAGTATCCAACATGGAAATAAGTGACCGTTGTAAATTTCTTTTGAAATGCTTTCTATGCCTTTCAAATTCCATTCCTTTTGAGTAGCTGTGGAGCATCAACGATACGAGGTCTCACTAGGCTTGAAGCCCTTGTATCTCATATGAGAAATGACAGGTTCTGCCATTTTCCAATCCCCTCTATGAGCCAGGGAATTTAGAAGTGAATTGTAGGTTGAAATGCAAGGTGTAAATCCTGCAATAATCATCTCATCATATATCTTTGCAGCACAGATTTCCAACCCCCACCTACCATGTGCACTTAAGTAACATTTTGTTCCAGTGACGATTCGGCATTCAGTTTCACGTCGTAGATGATATCCATCATCTCTTTGAGTTTTGACTTCTTCTGTTTGAACATACTCAAAGCCCTGTCCTCCTTCCCCGCTTTGCCATATGAATCGATCAAAGTAGTACAAGTAACAGCATTTGGCATTAATTTCTTCTGTCTCATTTTGTTAATCAATGCTGCTCCTTCCTTATGGAAACCTGCACTTCCAGAAGTTCATTTTAAGTTATCGAGTCTGGAGGGCAATGAGTGTATTTTGTCAACTAAAGCCTGTCTTAAATTCTATCTTTAAAAGTCAATCATTTTAAGAGGAGTAATCGAAACTGTTATACGTCTAGTAATTTTCACCTTTAATAGATATGTGATTCTAACTTATTTGCGCTTCATATGGATCTAATTGTTAGTTCGAGCTTGTTGGGCTCTGATACCATATTCAATCAATGTGAAATTTTACCTTTAATATGCACAAAAGGAAATGAGAGTGGTATTCTCTGGGACACACGATATTTGTGCTATTGAAATCGGATGAATAGAGTATTGTTTGGACCGGCTCCTCGTAAAGATAGAGATTTTCTAGCACATCCATAATATTTGTGTGTGGGAAGGAATTCATTTTGCTGTTTAAACCCAAATTCCAATATAAATATTCCATTGAAAACTTGAATGTGATTAATATAAAAATGTCACCACAACCCTACCTCAATTTGCTTAAACCTAGTCATATATTAGTGGCCAGAGTGCAACTGCCAGAATACACCTATTCAATTTAGAATTTGAACGTTATTATTTGTCATTTGTTTTCTGCAAGTATGTATAAATTCACATCTTCAATCCAGACATGTATGTGAAACAAAAATTTTGACAATTTTTTCACCCAATCAACGCTTCCCAACACTTGCAATATCAACAGTAATGTAAAAAAAAAAGAGTGTACAAATAGCATTTTCCTTTCTATGTTGACCAGTGTTCAAAATAACCTTCCAGGCCAGGCTCTATTTTGGACCAACTCAGTACCATGTTCTCTAGACATGGCCTTAGCCAGACTGATGTGATTGCACTATCTGGTATACAAATATTTGTCCTTACCTCATCTACAAACTTAAATCGTTAGACAAAAAAGAAAATTTTACTTAGAATAACATTTATATTCGAAAGACAAACTCTCATTGTATGATGTTAATCTTCGTAGGCACACATACAATCAGATTTTCTCACTGCAACCGTTTCTCCAAGCATATATACAACTTCAGTCCGAGTAATGGAATAGACCCAACTCTCAATCTACAATCCGCAATGCAGCTAAGGCAAATGTGAGCTCTAAGAGTTGACCCCAGAACAGGGGCGGAGCTAGCCCTTCAAACTAGGAGGGTCCCAGAGTTGAAGGGGCGTGAGCCCCTGAATTTTTTTTTTTTGAAACATTATCTGTTAAAATGAGGAAAGTTGGTACTTTATGATGAAGAAATAAAACAAATGAACATAAATAAATGTACGAAAATTTCACAAAAAAATCAAGAAACTTATAAAAGAAACTACTAATCTTTTGAAATATTTCTCCATCAATGAGCCTGAGAATTGAGGAAACTCTTTCACTCATAATTGATAAACAATACAACTTCACACATAACTGAATGGGCTGGATTAGGAGATTTAAAAAAAA